GTTTTCCCAGAAAATATAAAAAATCGGAATAAGACGTGGGGAAATAGGGAAAAACGTAGGAAAACTGGGAAAATCGGAACATTAAACAAATATTATTAAAGAAAATATATAAAGCCTATTTGATTATTTCACTATAAAATGACATATATATTATTGATAAAACATCACTATCAACTGAACTCAGCTCAGAATCGTTTTTTCGTAAGGAATGGTTTATCGTTGCTTACAGGTATGCATTAAATTACCTATAACAAGGGCTGCACCTGTCCACATTATCCTAGGACGTCTTTTTTTTCGACTTAAATGAACTTTGAGCGGGCCTGATGATGACTTCCTGTTATTCCAGTGAGTCGTTTTCTCACGAAGACTGACAATGAAATTTGAAATGATAAAAAGGACTTAGATTAAAAATAAAAAAAAGATTAGAATATAATTACGTCACAACAATAAATACTAAACGTGTTTATTACGAATTTAGGACTAGATACACCTATTGAAAATAATAGTATATGCCCATACGGCTATACATGAAAATAAGATATGTTGTACAGAATAAATAAAATATATTATACTGCGTTGTGCAACGTGTACTGTGCACGTTAAAACGAAATAAAATTCGATCGAATCGGTTTTTTAAATATATAAATAATTGTCTATACACAAATAAATAAATATCAATAAAATAGATTTATCTCGTCAATTTCGAATGTAAAAAAAATATGTCAAATCAATTTTTAATACCCACTACTAATTTTTATCTGCTTTTTTACGATTTTAACTACTTATACGAATTGGAACTCCCACGGGCGCTTAAGATAACATAATAATAATTTAAACGGTTCCGCCGGTTGATGCGCGTTTGACTTGTTTTTATTGGAAGATCGTAAAAACGTTAACCAATAATAATAAAAATAAAATAAAAAAAAAAACCAAAGAAAATTGGGTATTTTAAATGATATTAAAATATATTAATATATAAGTATACGTAAGGAACTCGTCACAAAACGGTTATTTTTAATACCTACACGACTATTCAAAAAGATGTATTTTCGAAAGAAAAATAATAATAAGAAGAAAACCGCACGTTAGTTTTTTTTTATTTTTATAAAAACGAATCGATTCATTTTAAGCGTCGCATTTTAATAACGTAACAATAATATATTATGTATGCTTTTAATTGTAAAACACGACGACACGCTCGCATGTGACAACTGAATAATATTCTCAAGAGAAAATTATTGTCGACGATAGACGTTATTTTTAACACCGTCGCGAAGTGCAGTGTAGTCCAGTATTTTATATCCGTTTGGAAACCGACCCGATTGCCACCAACGACGGCGTATAGAATGTGTTCTAATAATGATAACATAGTTTTTATTCGAGCCGAAATTTTCGAACTTACATTAGTTCGTTGGTTTCGTGTCAGTCAACTGAAATTCCCCTTTCCGTCCGGTAATTGATCACTTTTACGACCGCGTCATTTGGGTTGTTGGAGAACAGGTCCGTCCATTCAGCACCGGCTCTCTAACATTGGACATTCCAATAAGTGTTTTTCGTCAATGTGGATGCATCCACATTTGCATAGATAATTGTTTTATTTTTTCCATTTTTGGAATCCGTTCTTCTTGATTATGGCTACCCTCGCTTGTTCTCAGCCGATGTAAGTATTTTTCAAATCGTATCCCAGTGGTATGCCTTCTATTGCTCGTGTCCTTATCGGTTCACACATAGGACCGTACATCGATAACGATGTGAGATTAATCGCAAAGCGTTCTTGGCGGTTTTATTGCGGCCAAGTACCGCGTGTAATACTGTCCCAATATACCAATAGACTAAAGATTTGAAAACCAGAACTTTTGGAAAAACAATTGTTTGGAACATAAGCATTCTTTTATTTTTTGAAAAAAAAAATATTTCATAATATTTTTTTTCTTTAGTTATTAAATTGTTATTTTTAATTAACAAACACGTATACGGAGAAATGTAATTCCGGAAATAGAAAAAGCACCAGAGAATTATTATAAAACGTCACGAAAGACAGAAATTATTAAAACGAATAAACTTTATGCGATTTTATTTTTTTTTATTTAATAATTGCAGAATTCGAACATCTCGAATAATATCAAATTTTATGATACGGTAACAATTGATAATTTGATATTTGATATGTTATTACCAATGTTATAATAACGATGTATTGTCATTTTTTCGTTTCATTTTTTTTTTTTTTCTAAATCGATATGTGTGGTTTGCTCAAAATATTATAATATAGAACACATTATGCATCACGAGCGTGAAGTTTTTTTTTTCGTTGTAATACGCGTGGGAAAAATAATACGTATTAATCAATTTGTATTATGTTCGAAACGACCGTAAAAAACAAGTACGTATTCTATTCTGTATAATGTGTAAACATTGTTATAATATATTGCAGAGAAGTAAGCAAAGAACTCGAAGTGTTTTTTAAACCCATCCCCCCAAAATTTAAATTATAAAACCACTGATCGAAAACCCTGTCTGTGTTTAGACATCGCGACTGTAAATACATATGCATAGGTTCGATTAGGTATGACCAACAATTCTGTCGTTCGTATGTCGATGAGGTTAGCTGGAGGGATTTGTCATCGGCTCTTATCATTCACACGAAAACTAGAAACTAATTCTGGTGGTATAAATTTATATTATATACTTGAAACCAGTTGGCATTAAATGCCAATGGGAAAAAATCGGTGAGTAATAAATAATAATCATAGATAATAAAGGTATAGGTAGACTATCCATAACTTATCAGTGTTTCAAGAGAAACGGGTACAGTTAATCCAAGTTTCATAAATTGAGTCGTTTTATGTACATAGTTATGAATGATAAATTACCTCAGTTTACCACCCCTCACGTCAATACGCCAACACCGTTATACGTACAATTGTTGGGCCACAAAGTAGTGGCCCATTAATTTTTTTATTATCTGTAGTAATAACGCCTACAATTGTGATAAAAATGATAATCGGCTAGCAGCAACACCGATAACATCGAACAAGACAAAAACGCCTCGTCCGAATAGCGTCCCAAATGAAAACCGATGAAAACCTCAAACCTTTAGTCGTTGAAAAACTACGTCACGGGTAATAGGTTAATTTTAACGATACACAGAAAAAATCGCGGGACGGGGTGACAATAAAAAGGCACAAGAACCGCGGGATACAAAACTATAAACAGAACGATCCTCCCTGAAAACCGCCGATTATCTCAGAGGATTTTAATTGGATTCGATTTCCGTTTTTCCCGGAGTTTTATCGAACGATTTAAGATTTCTTTTAATACCTACTATTATCTAATCGAAATACTCATTTAAAAGGGCGGAGGGGGGTTCCTGATTGAAAATCAAAAGTTTATACTAATTTGCATAAAGATTGAAAAAAAAAAAAAAACCAGAAATCCAATTCAAAATCTTTCTAGTGAAACTGACGCGGTTTATGACGAGAGGATCGCGTTGTACGATATTTCGATATTTCACGCTGCGGGATGGGATGGCGACTAACCAGCGAAATATTGCGCCTTTATCATGCCGGCTTTTGGTATACTGTATACTGTACAGTAACGTACACAAGACTATAGAACAGTGGTTTTAAGATATTTTTTTTGACCACTTCGCTTTTCACAAAATGTTAACAACGGCACATTGTAACGTTTTTTTGGTTTTTTGTCGTTGGTTAATTGTCCGCGCGAAATTATAACTAATAACGAAATTGATCGGCGACACTCAAACGAATCATAATCAAAATAGTTCCGAGCGGATCGCCGTAACCGCGGTGGTCCGTCACAATTTAAGGAAAACAAATTTCAAAAGACCGCGGCACACCTAGAGTGAACTCGCGGCACCCGGTTTGAAAACCACTGTTCTTGTTGAGGCCGCAGAAAAAGTCTTAATTTATTTCGGTCTCGCGGGCCGCGGACGTCGTGCTGCGCGGCGGTTTCGCAAAGTCCGCTCACGTCATCGCCGAGCCGTCGTCGTCGTCGTCGTCGTCGGCATCACGACGCAAACGTCAACGAGCGCGGGACGCGTTGGTGCCTATTAGTATTATTATTATTATTATTGCGCGGCGGAGATGGAGTCTTCTCCTCGCGGGAGATCGCGCGCCACGTCGACCGTATCGATTCGGGGCCGAAACGCTCATTACAGAAAACAAAAACGTATACGCCGGCCTAATAACAATAATAATCATAATATCTTCACCTCGGCGGCGGCGGCGTTCGTCTACACGATAATGCACGACGACAGTACCTAGTAATAATATGATAATAATATCGCGCGAGCGCGCGCTCGAGAGTGCGGCGGCTGATTGATGAGATTGGCGTCCGTGACTCTGTCGCGCCGCCGCGCCGCCGTAGTAAATACAGAACCGCGGTCGACGGCTAGGGCGAAAATTAAACCGCGCTACGGCTATAATAATAATAATATTATAATATAGGTACTGTACAGTGTATGTGGCGTAACGTAATATAAATACTATTATCGCTATTATAAAGCGGGCGCTCCGCGTACGCGTATAATACAATATTATTATCATTATGAATAAGCGACAAGAAACGAAAAAAAAAAAAAAAAAAAAAAAAAAAAACAGTCGAAAAAAAAAAACAAACCCGGCACGACGACGGTGTTGTTTTAAACGGATATAAATCACGTAGGTACGGTACACGCGCGCGCCACGTTCATTCACACCGGCTCGGCCGAAGACGGCGGAGGAGAGCCGCGCGCCGTGATCGGTGGGTAGGAGGGCAGAGCCGGAACGGAGGAGAACCGAGCCGCGTGGAAGGAGACGCGCCGCGACGGAAGATGATCGATGGGCTTCCCGTCGCGGGGAAACGTGAACAATATCCTCGTGGTCGACCGCGAACGATGGCTACGGATGGCGTTGACAAATATTTTCGTTGCCCGGCCGTTGTCCGTCCAAACGCAATCACAATAATAAACAAAATAATAATAATAATAATAACAATAACACGATATCGCGTCGTCGGACTCCGTGGCATTTGAATGGCCGCGGTTCACGACATTCGGACCTAAACGGCTGCGGGCAACGTCCGGTAAAGTCGTGGCTGTCGTCGATCGTCGAAATATTCGGATCGCGTTCGCTACTATTATTATTATTGCTATTATTATTAGGACCCGGATTCAAATGCACCGAAAAATGGTCGAAAAATTCTCTAAAAACAAGCTAGAAATGTATTTTTACCACAAAAATGCCCTTAAATAATGATGTATCATTTTTTTTTTTTTTTTTTAATTTATTGTTTCATTATGTAATTTATAATATTTTTATTTTATTTTAAGAAAAATAAAAACAGAACATTAAACATTTTGACTTGTGACTAGCGACGTTAGTATTGACTGAGGGGCTATATTTGACTGATTGACTGGAAAACCCGAAAAATATGGATGGTATTTTGAATCAGCTAAATTTAAATTATTAAGCCGTATCATAGATTAAATATACCAATATATTTTATCGATGGTCGAATTATGTATACAAATATACAATATTACAATAAACAAAAATAAAATGGCCTGAAATAAAAAAAACATTGAAAAATGCAAAATAAAAGTTTCACCATTTAAGTCTTTGTTTTAATGTTACATGAATCAAACCATGTACTTGAAAAACCTTTTTTGAATATCAATCGAAAAAAAATGCATCTTGCACTGAAATCCCGGCCCTAATTATTAGTATTATATTGACTGCAATATGATAATCGAAACGTCCCCCTCCATCATAATACAATAATATTATAATATTATTATCGACTAGCGTAAATTTAATCAAGACAAATAAATAAGAAAAACGACGATAGTTATGAATAAGATATCGGCATAATATTATAAACATCGGATCCGACACGGAAATTCAATATTGATAACTGTAAAGTTTGAAAAAATAAGATTGGACGATAGACTATTTTCCAACGGTTGAATTTCGGAACGCCACTACGATATTTTATCATTTTGGTAATGACCGCTGGATTTCGGAAGACACGCCAACTGAACGGAACGAACGACGGACACACGGAGCGCAGCGGCGGCGACGTACCTACGCACGAACGACGTAACTCACGAGCTAAGGCACAACGACAGCTTTCGGGTTTACAAACACGTGAGACGGTTCAGACGTATTAATAAATTATCGCCGCAAACATAAAGTCATGGAGAGTCGTATTATTGTCCTACACGGACTGTACGGAAATAGATTTAAAATAAAACCTGACCTTGTTCACCGAATTTACAATTTCGTTCGTCCCGCCGCCGCCGCCATAAAAAAGAACACGAAGAAAACATCGGCGCGATTCATTTCTTCGCCGTAGGTACACGAAACTCACTGGCCCGCAGTAATGAAAAACACAAAAACAAAATACGATTTATTTCAATAATGACTTTTAAACTGATCGCGTGCAGCGGACTGAAAGTAAAACGATTGCCGACTGCTACACTGCAGGTCATTACGAAAACCCCACAGAAGTTCGATCCGAAAACGACCGGGGGGTAAAATAGTTAGTTAGAAATAGTTGGAGTTAGTTAGAGGACATCCTGAGTCGAAAGGAACTAGAGAACCCAGAGAGGCAGAAGCTAAGGCCAATCGGAGTCTTCTTGCGACGTGACCTACTCAAGAGAGAGTGTCATATCGCTCTTCTTACGCTCTCTTAAATACGACCTGAGAACTGCGGGTTCCAAGAACCGGGAAGTGAACAGAAAGGGCAGGCTCGGATCACGGGCAACTTCAAGTTAAGCTATAATAGGATTACTTATCGCTATTGATTTCGTATAATTTGTTAGTCATTTTCTGATATGTTAGCTTGTCCCGCGACGGGACTGTACATTTTAGTTACGAGTGAACAATAAACGATAGCAGTAGTGAGGAAGTAAAATACTTGAACAGTAATTGTGAAAACAGACCCCCCCTGCTGTCGGTTAAATCCCGAAGGAAAAATAAGAGGTTAGTTTTTCCGAGCACCACACAACGTCAATTTGCATGTTCATTAACTTCGAGGAGTGTGTCGAAAACGTTTTTGGGTCAAATATCAACGTCTTTGCCATATTTCGGATAGAATCTTTGTACGGACGGCGACCGTTTCACTTGACCAGCGTGCATAGTGCGTACGGTCCGTTGAGCATAAATAATATTATAAAAGTCGTTATTCTTCTTCTTCGTCTCGTGTCGGTATAAAAGTCGTTGATATTACATTAATCATTTGTTTCAAAAAAAAAAGCGGGAGTGCAGTGAATTTCGACTCCAGCAACGACCGTGTGTGTGCCTCTTTATGGAATTATGTGACCGCATAATTAACACGGACAAGATAGCCAATGTCTCGATCTCATTTTCTAAGAATATTATCGAGATCAAATAATATCAAATAATTCAATAACTATGTTGTTTTTATCGTTATTATTATTGTAAAAAACTTACTCGGGCGGCACAGCCTTTTTTTAAAAAAAAAAATATTTGTTTACTTGTTATAATATAATTGTTGTTCGTCTAGATAATAATTATTACTGTATACGGCGGTTATTATATTGCAACTCTATATTATTATTATTATTATTGCCGACTGACCAATTATCGTTCCGTTCTATTGTTGTATACCGACCAAAGTCGACGACGACGACTACGAAGACACGAAGATGTTTTTTTTTTCTTTTAACAAACGACCGCAATGACTAAGCTCAATTATTATTACCGAATTCCAGCAAGTGTTTGTCGTTATCGTTTTTGACGTAGGTATAGGATAAACGTATAATGGCATCTTTTAAAATATTTTTATAGAAATATGGTATAATAGGTATTATTTTAATGTGAGGCGAAGAACGTTTTGGGCACTACATCATCCCAGCGATAGCACATTTTGGACTCTAAAAAGAATCGTGGTACATGTTTGGGCGCCGACAATCATAGAAAAACTATACAGCACTATTAGACAATAGATATTTATTTATTCAGGGTGATCTGAATTTAATGTTATCCACAGAGAATTGTACAGTGAAATAGTTATTTATCCTAAGATTAGTTGGTTCCATTTCTCCGTGTCTCTCTAATGTAGCCTAATTCTTTTAGATGATTGTATTTTCTTTTGTTCATGATTTGGGCCATTTATTTTGATCTTGGTCTTTATCTCCCAATGTATCTTTTAACATCTCCTTCAGTTATTATCTTTAGTAAGCTTTCGTGACTTAATGTGTGTCCTATTGTCCTAGTATAGATGTGATAAATTTGCACAACCACCGTTTTTCCTTAATCCTATCTAATACCGTTTCGCTTTTCCCCTTTTCGGTCCAGGGGACCTTAGACATTTTCCCGAAGCACCTAATCGCATTTATTATTCCGTTTGTTTTATTAATCAAAAATGGCAATCACCGTTTTAGACGGACTCTTGCGACAAACATATAATAATATATAATTGATACAAAGTACCGGCGCATAAATACGTTATTAGAAATATATTGGTAGGTACACCGAAAAATGGGTTGTAATTTTTTTAGGTAAAAATCGAGTTTTATACCTAACCCGTATATTGTACATACGTATCGCAAACGAAACAATACACATTCTAAACGACGTACGTTATAGTTGCTTAACGGAATAACGCAAATACTGTTATAGTCGATTTTTATACAATTCGCATGTTTGATATTACTACACCTATACCTTTAGATGTTAATAATATTTTAAAACAAATTAACACACTGTATGCGCACATCAAATTATTATTATAATACATATATGTTCGTAATAAAACACGTTTTACGAGTGTATATTATATAGATTTTTAATTAGATATAGGTACTATATCTATATGTACGTGTTGAGTTCAAAAAAAAAAAAAAAAAAAACATATATGTATATCAAATAATCAAATCAATTAAAAAATACAAATATACATGTATATTTTGTTTAATAAAGTTAAAAACTAATTATAAAAACTCGACAGTAATCGAAAATTCCGTACAAACGTTATTAATAAAACATTGTATGAATACGGTCTTAATAACGATTCGTTGGTGTAAATAATAATGTAATAATACTACATATCAGCGGTCAGTCTTGTTAAAATAAAATATGTATTCAGAATACGTTTTTGAACACTTATTTGAATTATATTCGAATACTTTATTTTTAAAGTGTTGCAGGATTATTTATATCCAATTAAATACTTGTTAAAAATATTAAATATACTTAGTTTTCAATACATTTGACATACATCAAAAAAAATTATACAGAAAGATAACTGCATTTAAAAATTGCAAATAAATACTTAACTTATTTACGGATATTTAATTTAAATAGGGTTAAGAATTTCAAATAATACAGATTATAACATATTATTTAACTAAATTAGTAAACGAGTCTATTAGTTTTACTTTAGTTACATAGATTACATTATTTTAATGATTTCAAATTTACAATACATTTTTTCAAAAAATCTTAAACAAATGCTCAGAAATAATTTAAACTTAAAACACGAAAATATAGCGCGGTAACATGAACATAAATAATTTATATTCTAGAATCAAAATACGAATAAAAGGAATTTCTATGGTATTCAAAATACATCTGTCAAAAAGTAGTTCTCAAGTATTTAAATACAAGTATTCGAATATTAAACAAGACTCATTGCATAGGCACACGATTTAATCACCAAATGTTAATGTTGGTTTAGTTGTTAGTTTTTTTTTTTTTGGATCGTCAAAATAATATTTTCTATTGTACGTTTATCCGAACACGGGATAGTATCCAATAGGTACGTGTGTAAAAAACACGTGAAGGTTCATGATGCGAAACCGCCGTTCGAGAATCGACGACAACGGGCGCAATAAAATTATCACGAGGAAAGGGAGGAGGAGGAGCCGGTCGGATATCGCAGACAATAATAGTTTTTATTATTATTATTATTATTATTTTTAAGTACGGAGACGTCAAAAAAGGGACAAGTTATTATTTTTCAAATTATATAGTACTCATATTATATATTATAGTTATACTCTTCGCGACTGTATAGGTATACCCACCGGCGCCGACCGGGGGTTTATTTCGCGCAGAGAAATTTAAGCCGCGAAAATACACGAAAACCAACATAATTATTACGACGGCGAACCTACAATTTGATACGTTTTCGATACCCATATAATAACAATATATGATATTATATACACGGGCGATTTTTTTTTTTTCTATTTTACGTCATATAGGCAGTAACGGTTCACTGTATATATACCGATCACCACCCGCGCCGTTATAATAATAATATACTTTAATTATACGTAGATCCACAGGAAAAAAGAGGAAAGGAAACAAAAACAGGATAATATACAGGAAATAGACTATACAATAGAGACTGCATCGGCGGCTCGGCAAACGTCGTGTATTCGAAATTTCGTTTTCAATGCGGTGAGCGTTGTGTCGATGTGTACAAAATATAATATAATAAATGTAACGAACGGCTGTCGTGTATGGATAGCAACGCAAAGAATAAAATACGGTGTACGGTCTTTGTTTCGTCGGTCATTAAACACACTCGTAGCCGAGAAGGTATCTCGAGTACCCTGGTATGTGTCTTGGGGGAAAAAAAAAAAAAAAAGGAAAAAAGAATACCGAAAAAACCACAAAACGGAAATACGTTTGACGAAATCACCTCGATACAATAATAATATGTGGTCAATCAATACCTAATTATTATTTATTTATTTATTTTTTCCATCACTTTTTGTCATTGCCGTATACCGTATATTGTTAGAGCGGACTTCTTATTATATAGCTGGCGTCGTAGTTCGCTCTTGTTTGGGGTCCTATGCGGTTGTCATCGGTTCAATGAACAAACATGTAATTTTTTTTTTTCTTTTTAGTTCTTGATGTCGTACTATAGGTTGTTTATAGGTATAGATAGTGTATAGAATAACATTACAAAATGGCCAGTAACTCTGCAGTCTTGTCGTTAACATTTTTTTTTGATGCCAACGAAAAATACGCTACAAAGTTGACAACAAAATGTGTGTTTTAGTTTCTTCTTGAAAACAACTTTTACGATTATTATTATAGCCCTGATTTTATCACGTCGTACCTCAAAAGATGCGAATTTTTTGTGGTATTTTATTTGAAAAACAACGCGAAATTCTCGGTAATTTTTCCAAAAAAAAATACGAGTTTAATTTTTTTTTTCTGAAAACATCAAAACACATTTTTGTTTAGTAAAAATATGGTCAAATTTTTAAGGCTGCACTTTATAAAAGATACGAAATTTCCATCATTCAGTATTTTAATTTAAAACGGTTTATCAACATGTACAACAGCTCATCCTAATAACATCTAAGGTACTCTTTTTATTGATTTCCATGACTCCGCTCACAGAATCGTTTTCCGATCTATCGTTGAACAAAGTATACAAACTAAATTTTCCTATACATCCTGCCTTCTGAACTACCCACGACCACCTACAACAACAATAGCATACGCATATCAATGGTGCAAAGTATAACTTGCAGCTTTTTTTTATCTCGTGCGATATTCACAATATAAAATTAATATAACTATCAGCTTTATCACAGTGTACGTGATTTTCAAAAAAATAAACATTATAAGAAAAAAATAGTACGGTGCTTATCAGAAATATTTTATTCTCGCGTTACGTGCCCGTTGGCTGCCCGAGTGATGATGAGTTACCTACCGCGAGCAATTATTATTTTCATAACTACTAATCATATTTTCAAGAACAAAGTGCACATTAGAGTAGAGAAAGAATCTAATGGGCCTATTATAGAATATAGTCATAGCGTTTTTTTGGACATGTCATTCCCCCGTCCACGGGATACACGCCACACTACCTACTAGGTACAAAATTAGGATTAACCAAATATGAAATACAATAATTTATTTCCTTACGGGGTCGTTAATCGTCACGAAGCGTTTAGAGGTTATTCAAAGAGGTAGGTAAAAAGTTATTCGAAAATCCAAAATATGTAATAATAGTTGACACAAAAAAAAAACCTCCGTTAGTTTTTTTTATATTATATTATGTTTCACTATAATGACCTTCGTTATCGGTTATCATTTCTTTTTTTTTTTTCTTTCTTTTTTTTACGTCGATTGATATTTTAAAAACACTGTATAAACAATAGACTAATTTATCCGAGCCATATTCGTGACGTTTTTAGTCGTGTAAGCTTATTATGTATTGTTGCATTTGGAATATGTAATTTCTTCAGTAAAAAAAAAACGCATTATTATACTCACTTTTTCCGATTCCTCTCTCCTCACAACATACCCAAACCATGTCAATCTATTTTCTCTCATGTTTTCCACTACCGAAGACTCACCTCAACTATCATCTTTTACGTTCATCATTCTTCGTCTTATCTTTTCTCATCACTCCTCACGTCCGCCTAAGCATTCTCGTCTCTATACTACACTCGTTCTCTGTTCTATTTGTCCGTCTACCACCCCAACATTCCGAACCATACAACATAGTGGGTCTCGTCACATCTCTTTTGTAGAACTTACCTTTAAGTCTCATTGAAATCACACATAATAAAATATATGGAAAAATACAGATTTAAAAAAAAAAAAAATAAAATAACGTCATTCTCTCTCGCCTTACGCGACTCCAAACCCGTGTATAGAAATCGTACTATAGCGTCCAGGCAGACAAATCGGAAAATTGGCGAAACGATATTTCGGGCGTTTCGATGCGTTCGCGGGCTCTGGCATACTCTGGGTGCAGCTGCGATAAAAAAAAAAAAAATAAAATAACGTCATTCTCTCTCGCCTTACGCGACTCCAGGTGTACGGCCGCAGCGGCGGTAAAGATTCGTGGTCGTTGATATAATGAGCGTGGCAATGACATTGTAACGTATGCGCATTATACAAACGTGGCGTTTCTTTTCTTTTTTTCTCTCGAAAATATTAATGCCTTTTTAACGAGAAATCCGACTGTATAAGGTTCGAGTCCCGTCGCCGCCACCATCACATCTCGCAATCACTGCACAGCACATCACGGGTCTACCGTATACATATATATACCTATGTAAGTATAGGTATTTAACGATATTTTATCCCCCAAAAATAAAAAAAAAGTGTCGTGCAGACGGTCGTCGTAGTCGTTTTGCCGACGATTAGTCATGACGCGTTTTCGGTGCGCGAGTGTGCATATTATAATACCGCAGCACAGTACATCTGCCCTCCTCCTCGTCCTCCTACTACTACTCCTCTTCTATACCCCGTCCGCCTTGTAAGCGACCATATAATATTATTATATACGATATTATAATATGATATAGGTATGCCTATACACGAGACGAACGTGTGAACACACACACCCGGTAGTCCATGTCTAATCAACGTGCTTGGACAAAAATACGCACGCCGGAGGAGATGGTGGCGGTGGTTTTTGTTTTTTTTTTTTTTCGAAAACGCGTCTAATTACGAGAATAGGCCCATATCACATAATATTATTATTATTATAACGTACTTAGGTACGTCATAAACCGTCGTGCGCACCTGCCGCGATATAGTAATACTACGTAATAATAATAATATACCCAAGTATAATATTCAAACACCTCTCCGGGCTCTGGACGCTTTGTTTTCGACCGGAGTTCTTAACACCGTCGCGTACACTGCACACAACGGCCGACCATTGTTTTTCGTTTATATTTCGGTCGTTTATTTTTTGTTCTACGTGTGTGTGTATGTGTTTTTTTTTCTGTTTTCTGTTTTTCTTTCTGCCTCGTTATATTATTACCGCCATTGTCCGGACCACATCACGGGCCACAAACAGGGCTACTGTATTCCCCCCTGACGACGTATGCGACGGCGCGCGGGAAATTGGCCTACTAATTTTTCTCGTTAACGGCGTGCGTGTAAAACAACACTATCACACACACACACACATATTTTCAATATATTATTGTTATTAGGTATTTACCGCGCGTAAATAGTTACCTTATTTTCGTATAGGTACACACGCGCGTGTATATTAGTTGTGACATCTGCGGGAGACCCCTTGTAGTATTATCGATTGTGTGACACGTTTTTTAATTTTTTTTTTTCCGTAAAAATATATAATCACCTCGAATGCACACGGTTATTATTATTGGTTCTGGTTTTTTCTTCTCAATATTATTAGTCATATTATACCGATCCGTCGCCGGCCACCGGACGCCGTTACAAATTACCTATGTATATATACTTTGGTCACGCCTATTATAGTCTGCAAATTGATTTTGTGTCGCACGGCGCAAACAATGAAAAATGAAAGAAAAAAAAACACCTATACACATATTATACCAGCGTGTTTGCTTATTATTTATTTTCGATTTTAGAGTCTATATAGCGCCGTATTAAACCGGTGCGTTTTATTGTTTGTCGTCGAGACGATCGGCGAAGGAGTCTTTCCGTTTTCGTTATTGTTTTTCTTATTGAATGGGGGAAAATATCAATTTTTTCGTATAATTGTTTTGTTGATTTCTCGGTTATCTCGGCTACAAGAGAAAAAATACCACTAATACAACTTTAATCATTTTCAGTAAGTAACTGTATATCGCTACGCACAGATATAAATTAAATTAGGTATACTATATTTTTGTTTAATGCTAAAACAAATATTGTGACCATTAGTATTAGCAAAATTAACATTAGGAAATAAAAATAAAAAAACACCAAGTGTTTAGACAGCTTTTAAAATATAGATTAAGTTGTTGTTACGGAAAATATAAATAGGTAGGTGAGGAAAAAATCGGCAAGTCCGGCCGGCGACGGCACACGGCACTGAGCGGGACGTTGTTTTGTTTTAAAATAAAATTTGACTGTACACAAAAAAAAAATAATATAATAATAATAATAATTTAAAGGATAGAATAACATAAGATTTAGGATTTAAGAATAACTTAAACTAGTAATAAACAACGATAATTATGTTTGCACCTTACAATTAATAACTTCACATACAGTATACAAAATAGGCAAGTCCGATAAAAAAAAAAAAAAAAAAAAGAAGTTATGACATTTTAATCTGTTATACCAATAAAATTTTAGTAAAATTGTTTAAAAAAAAAAAACCCACGGAATTCATTCTTTTGTTAAATTTAATTAAATTTAATTATTTTCCATGAATAAGCAGAGTCCAAACAACATCCGATTCTACAGTACATTCTACATTCTATACTACCTATACGACGCATAAAAGTTGATACTAATTACTTACTAATTATCATAGTATGTACGTAAATACGCCTTTTTTTTTTTTTTTTTTTTTTTTTTTTTTTAAAATCGGCAGTACATCCACCTCCCGGAACCATCGTTAGGTATTGCATCAGGTGTTGTAGGTGCGTGAATACAAGTTATGGAGAATGCATGGTTTATTAAAAAAAAAACCAAAAATTATAATTATTACTAACAAACACACGTACACTTTTTCAAAATTAAATACTCTACATAATAAAACGCTTAATTTGATAAACTAATAAATATTAGACAATATAAGAAGCTTTTAGTAGCATAAAAACTGAGAGTTTTTTTTTCTTTTAAATTTAACATTATATTGATATGATAGTTTAATAAACCAATTAAAAAAAAAAAATGAAGTCATCAAACTAAGATTTGCTATGTACATTGTATACATTTGTCAAATTTTAAAGGATTATACCAACTATATAAAGTTTACACATAGTATATGAACAATTTAATTAAACAATACCAAAATAAGTGAATAAGATATTGTTATTTTATTAAAATCATACTTTTGTTTCCGAACAAAATTTGTAACAAAAAAAAAATGAACGGATGATTAAAATGAAACAACACTGTAATATTATAGATAAACTGACCTAATAGATAGATAATATTACGTTTAATTATTACACACACAAACGTATAGGAAAAAGAAAACAACGATCTCGGAGATTTTTCCAGAAATGATGAAAAGAACGTCTTCGGAAAGGCGTAGCATTTTAATATTTTAAAATTAGGTATTTTTGAGGCATATTAGGTACTCGGTTCATAGAATGCGGCCAGAATATATGTTACGAACCGTGGCGGGACGTTTCGGGGGGTTCCGTACCGAATATATTTTACAATAATAATATGTGTGTAATAAGTATAATAATACGCGTGTATAACACGTCCGTAACGGGCGTGTATATTTGCACGTGGGTATAACATTGAGTGCATCCGATGTGTTTATAGGTGTTAAGAGCGATTTTTATTATTATTATTATTATTATTTTTTTTTTTTTCAACGTTATTGTTGTTTCGCGCGTAGGCGAACGAAACCGGAGCTGCCGGCAAACTCGCGCGCGGGAAGTGTGCGTTTGATGGACATTCCTATTATTGCCGCGGCACGGGGCGTCCTACCCTTGGGGGGTCCGAAAACTGGTTCTCGGATCACACGTACTTAAAAAGAAACCGGGACTTTTCTTCCTCGCCGTCTTTCTCTCCTCGCCGTCGTCCGAAGCCGGCTATAAAACAATCCTCCTCCTGTTGCACACACCACTACACGCCAGCAGTGCGTGTTATTCGTACAGTCGGATTTCTCGCCGGACCGGCAGCGTGCTACGCCGCACGGCCCGTCCTGCCCTGTCCCGACACCCTTTCCTCGCCCGTGTCGCGCTGCCTATTTAACGCGAGCTTTGCCCGTCGACGCCGCAGCCGTCCTGCGCAATCCAATAATAACACGTCGTCGGCGTAATGTAAAACCAACTGTGTTATTGTTATAACATTGTACTCGTATTATATATGTACTTTGGCGACCACGTTTCGATACGGTAATATACGATTCAACGATGACGACGGTTCAAGCCGCAGAGCGCGGTGTAAACAATTCCGGTACTCATGCGCGTGAATATCGTTGTATAAAGGCGATGTGATCTGGTCGGAAATCACGTGGTCGAGAGTAAGAAAAAGAAAAATTAATCGTAATTTTATTCAACTTTCAGTTACCTAAGCCTCTTGAATTACACCCGGTGGCGGTTATATACGACGACGACTACATGTATGTACATACAGAGTGATGAGTCTGTTATCGGACGCTCATTATATCGGAAAGTATTAACATTTCTCGATATTGTTCTATAGACAATTTTAGAAACAAGCAGCTCTGCAATTTTACACTTATGTTATTTTTTGTCACCCTAATTTTCGAGGGTGAAAATACCGTCTACGATTGGTTTTTAAACGGCAACCAATATTAAAAATTCCATAAATAGATAGAGTAGTAGTTACAAAAAGTGTTTGTGTTTAAATTTTTAATTTCCGTCAATCCGTTGACGAGATATTCCACTTTTAATCTTTAGTCGTTGAGTAGAGATACATTCTTTAATCGCCACGCGCTGTGTTGCCACACAAATTATACTCCACTACTCTCCTCCAACCTAAACTTAAAAGTGGAATATCTCGACAACGGATTGACGGAAATTACAAATTTAAATATCAAAATTTATTTTAACTATTACTCCATCTATTTATAGAATTTTTAATATAGGTTGCCATTTTAAAATCAAAAGTAGGTAGTCGTTTCACCCCCCCAAAAATTTGGATGACAAAAAATAATGTACATGTTAAATTTAAGAACAGCTTGTTTCTTAAATGTTCTTTAAAACAAATTTCGAAAAAAGTTAACACTTTCCAAGATAATGAGTGTCTTACGATAGATTGATCACCTCGTATGTAGTATATTGTGTTTCGGCCATATGTTTTTCGATCACGTAAAATTTCCATCGTTTTTAATCGATTCTTCGACCTTCAATCATCGCGCATATAGTCTTTGATTAAAAAAATAACTCTCGCATACTCCACGAACTCGAGTAGCAAAAACGACATATATAACGATAGTTTTCCCAAGTCGATTTTCCCCGAAAGTTAATTTCCCTAATCTCCTAATGTAACACGATTTAATTTAAGTGCTACACAGGAATGTAATATCGCTGACGACAGTAAATATAGGGACTATAATATAGTACGGACATTAACTAAAGAGACTCCTGCAGGGATAGCTATATTTGTAAGTGTGAATTTAACTAGGTATAATTTAATTATGCAATATATATGTGAACCATTATGTTATCCTAGAATATTTAATGTTTAACCCTAACTCGGAGCCTAATTGCACCTAGCTAGTATACTAGTCAGTAAATTTAAGTTGCTCTTTTAAGGTCCTTATACTCGTAGATACGGCCAATATACATTATACATACTGCAGGATCATCAAAACCGTCTATCCCTGGATATCTTTTATTTGTTCGTTTTCTCAAAACGTCAATTTTCCCGAATGTTTAATATGACAATTTTTTTCTTTGGGGTACAAAACGCTCCTGAAAACCATCCCGTCGTTCACCCAGCCCTCAATCCATCTTAATCTGATGCTCGTCGTGCCTCCCAACCAAATCCTCATCTAAGTCTTACACGTATTTCTACATCATTCCGCCTTCTTCTCGGTCTTTCGAGGGGTATACTGAACGAAGAATCGAGTTTCGATTTCTCCAGGCATGTCTTGCCTATTGTAGTCCTTATCGTATATATGATGGTCTTAACCATTTTTCGTTTCTGATACAGCGCAATTCAAGGTCCTCGTTCTTCCTTAATTTCCCAACGATGTAATACATATTATGTTTGCCAACGTGTTTCATAGTGTGCATGGTATAGTAAAGGCACATCCTAGGCGAATACGTGTATTATAAACAGCGTATGCATCACGTCATTGTTTCGCTCGACGGTCATTAAGCCGGACCGGTACTTAACGACGAGGACCGAGAAGTCGCCGGAGCAATAATAATAATATTATAGTAACCGCCTCTGCTGGTGCTGCAGAGTATAACGAGCTGTCGTCGGTACGGCGGGGATTGACAAATGTCGCGCGTTCGCGTAAAAAACGAGAGGTTATACAATGTGTTTTACGAACGGTATAGAACGGAAATATACGTACGGATATGCGAATGTAAAAATATAAATAAACCCGGAGGAAAATAAAGTTGGAAAAAAAGGATAATAAAAAAAAAAAAAAAAAAAAAAAAAAAAAAAAAGAATCGAATCTCACGTAGTCAGCCACCGTGGCACACGATCGCATTGCAGCGGGCGAGCGTATAATACGAGTTCAGTACATACAATACATACACATACACATTCATTGCTGCTGCTGCTGCGAGTACTCTCTCAACAAATAATGCACAATGCGATATTAAAATGTATAATATGAATATATGTATCGATAGACGCGCATGCAAACGACTACAATGGCATGTGTGTATAGGAGGAACCTATCTGCAGTATAAACATACTATATACACGCGGATGAAACCAAGCAAAACGTTTCCTCCCCCCCCCCCTTATTTTTATTTTGTAATAGACGAACCGGTTCGGCGGTATAGTGCGGGGGGCGAGAGCCTCCGG